ACCCCAGAAAAACAACTAAATGAAGTAGAGATAGACAACCTTCCAGAAAAAGTACTGAGAATAATGATAGTGAAGATGATTCAGGACCTCGGAAAAAGAATGGAGGCAAAGATCGAGATGATGCAAGAAACGTTTAACAAAGACCTAGAAGAATTAAAGAACAAACAAACAGAGATGAACAATACAATAACTGAAATGAAAAATACACTAGAAGGAATCAATAGCAGAATAACTGAGGCAGAAGAACGGATAACTGACCTGGAAGACAGAATGGTGGAATTCACTGCTGTGGAAGAGAATAAAGAAAAAAGAATGAAAAGAAATGAAGACAGCCTAAGAGACCTCTGGGACAACATTAAATGCAACAACATTCACATTATAGGGTCCCAGAAGGAGGAGAGAGAGAGAAAGGACCTGAGGAAATATTTGAAGAGATTATAGTTGAAAACTTCCTTAATATGGGAAAGGACATAGCTACCTAAACCCAGGAAGTGAAGACAGTCCCATACAGGATAAACCAAAGGAGAAACACACCGAGACACATAGTAATCAAACTGGAAAAAATTAAAGACAAACAAAAATTACTGAAAGCATCAAGGGAAAAAAGACAAATAACATACAAGGGAACTCCCATAAGCTTAACAGCTGATTTCTCAGCAGAAACTCTACAAACCAGAAGAGAGTGGCACGATATATTTAAAGTGACAAAAGGGAAGAACCTACAACCAAGGTTACTCTAACGTGCAAGGATCTCATTCAGATTCGATGGAGAAATCAAAAGCTTTACAGACAAGCAAAAGCTAAGAGAATTCAGCACCACCAAACCAGCTCTACAACAAATGCTAAAGGAACTTCTCTAAGTAGGAAACACAAGAGAAGTAAAGGACCTACAATAACAAACACAAAACAATTAAGAAAATGGTAATAGGAACATACATATCAATAATTACCTTAAACATGAATGGATTAAATGCTCCAACCAAAAGACACAAGCTCGCTGAATGGATACAAAAACAATTCCCATTTATATGCTGTCTCCAAGAGACCCACTTCATACCTAGGGACACATAGAGGCTTAAAGTGAGGGGATGGAAAAAGATATTCCCTGCAAATGGAAATCAAAACAAAGCTGGAGTAGCAATACTCATACCAGATAAAATAGACTTTAAAATAAAGAATGTTACAAGAGACAAGGAAGGACACTATATAATGATCAAGGGATCAATCCAAGAAGAAGCTATAACAATTATAAACATATATGCACCCAACATAGGAGCACCTCAATACATAAGGCAACTGCTAACAGCTATAGAAGAGGAAATTGACAGTAACACAATAATAGTGGGGGACTTTAACACCTCACTTACACCAATGGACAAATCATCCAAACAGAAAATTAATAAGGAAACACAAGCTTTAAATGACACAACAGACCAGATATATTTAATTGATATTTACAGGACATTCCATCCAAAAACAGCAGATTACACATTCTTCTCAAGTGCGCACAGAACATTGTCCAGGATAGATCACATCTTGGGTCACAAATCAAGCCTCAGTAAATTTAAGAAAACTGAAATCATATAAAGTATCTTTTCTGACCACAACGCTATGAGATTAGAAATCAATTATAGGGAAAAAAACATAAACAACACAAAAACATGGAGGCTAAACAATACGTTACTAAATAACCAAGAGATTACTGAAGAAATCTAAAAGGAAATCAAAAAGTACCTAGAGACAAATGACAATGAAAACATGACGATCCAAAACCTATGGGATACAGCAAAAGCAGTTGTAAGAGGGAAGTTTACAGCAATACAAGCCTACCTCAAGAAACAAGAAAAGTCTCAAATAAACAATCTAACCTTACACCTAAAGGAACTGGAGAAAGAAGAACAAACAAAACTCAAAGTTAGTAGAAGGAAAGAATTCATAACGATCAGAGCAGAAATATATGAAATAGAAACAAAGAAAACAATAGCAAAGATCAATAAAACTAAAAGCTGCTTCTTTGAGAAGATAAACAAAATTGATAAACCATTAGTCAGGCTCATCAAGAAAAAAAGGAAGAGGACTCAAATCAATAGATTTAGAAGTGAAAAAGAAGAAGTAACAACTGACACTGCAGAAATACAAAGGATCTTGAGAGATTACTACAAGCAACTCTATGCCAATAAAATGGACACCCTGGAAGAAATGGACAAATTCTTAGAAAAGCACAACCTTCCGAGACTGAACCAGGAAGAAACAGAAAATATAAACAGACCAGTCACAAGCACTGAAATTGAGACTGTGATTAAAAATCTTCCAACAAACAAAAGCCCAGGACCAGATGGCTTCACAGGCGAATTCTATCAAACATTTAGAGAAGAGCTAACACCCATCCTTCTCAAACTCTTCCAAAATATAGCAGAGGAACACTCCCAAACTCATTCTACGAGGCCACCATCACCCTGATACCAAAACCAGACAAAAATGTCACAAAGAAAGAAAACTACAGACCAATATCACTGATGAACATAGATGCAAAAATCCTCAACAAAATACTAGCAAACAGAATCCAACAGCACATTAAAAGGATCATACACCACGATCAAGTGGAATTTATGCCAGGGATGCAAGGATTCTTCAATATACGCAAAATCAATGTGATACACCATATTAACAAATTGAAGAATAAAAACCATATGATCATCTCAATAGATGCAGAGAAAGCTTTTGACAAAATTCAACATCCATTTATAAAAACTCTCCAGAAAGTGGGCAGAGAGGGAACCTACCTCAATCAACATAATAAAGGCCATATATGACCAACCCACAGCCAACATCATTCTTAATGGTAAAAAACTGAAAGCATTTCCTCTAAGATCAGGAACAAGACAAGGATGTCCACTCTCACCACTAGTATTCAACACAGTTTTGGAAGTCCTAGCCATGGCAATCAGAGAAGAAAAAGAAATAAAAGGAATACAAATTGGAAAAGAAGAAGTAAAGCTGTCACTGTTTGCAGATGACATGATACTATACATAGAGAACCCTAAAGATACCACCAGAAAACTACTAGAGCTAATCAATGAATCTGGTAAAGTTGCAGGATACAAAATTAATGCACAGAAATCTCTTGCATTCCTATACACTATGATGAAAAATCTGAAAGAGATATTAAGAAAACACTCCTGTTTACCACTGCAACAAAAAGAATTAAATTCCTAGGAATAAGCCTACCTAAGGAGACAAAAGACCCGTATGCAGAAAACTGTAAGACACTGATGAAAGAAACTAAAGATGATACAAACAGATGGAGAGATATATCATACTCTTGGATTGGAGAATCAACATTGTGAAAATGACTATACTACCCAAAACAATCTACAGATTCAATTAAATCCCTATCAGACTACCAATGGCATTTTTCACAGAACTAGAACAAAAAATTTCACAATTTGTATGGAAACACAAAAGACCCCAAATAGCCAAAGCAATCTTGAGAAAGGAAAATGAAGCTGGAGGAATCAGGCCCCCAGTCTTCAGACTATACTACAAAGCTACAGTAATCAAGACAGTGTGGTACTGGCACAAAAACAGAAATATAGATTAATAGAATAGCATAGAAAGCCCAGAGATAAACACACACACATATGGTCAACTAATCTATGACAAAGGAGGCAAGGATATACAAAGACAGTCTCTTCAATAAGTGGTGTTGGGAAAACTGGACAGCTACATGTAAATGAATGAAATCAGAACACTCCCTAACACCATACACAAAAATAAACTCATAATGGACTAGAGACCTAAATGTAAGACCGGACACTATAAAACTCTTAGAGGAAAACATAGGAAGAACACTCTTTGACATAAATCACAGCAAGATCTTTTTTGATCCACCTCCTAGGGTAATGGAAATCAAAACAAAAATAAACAAATTGGACCTAATGAAACTTCAAAGCAGTTGCAAAGGAAACCATAAACAAGATAAAAAGACAACCCTCACAATGGGAGAAAATATTTGCAAATGAAGCAACTGTCAAAGGATTAATCTCCAAAATTTACAAGCAGTTCATGCAGCTCAATATTAAAAAAACAAACAACCCAATCCAAAAATGGGCGGAAGACCTAAATAGACATTTCTCCAAAGAAGACGTTCAGATGGCAAAGAAGCACATCAAAAGCTGCTCAAGATCACTAATTATTAGAGAAAATGCAAATCAAAACTACAATGAGGTATCACCTCACACCAGTTAGAATGGGCATCATCAGAAAATCTACAAACAACATATGCTGGAGAGGGTGTGGGGAAAAGGGAACCCTCTTGCACTGTTGGTGGGAATGTAAATTGATATAGCCACTATGGAGAACAGTATGGAAGTTCCTTAAAAAACTAAAAATAGAATTACCATATGACCCACCAATCACACTCCTGGGCATATACCCACAGAAAACTATAATTCAAAAGGACACTTGCACCCCAATGTTCACTGCAGCACTATTTACAATTGCCCGGTCATGGAAGCAACCTAAATGCCCATGAACAGACAAATGGATAAAGAAAACGTGGTACATATATAGAACGGAATATTACTCAGCCATAAAAAGGAATGAAATTGGGTCATTTGTAGAGACATGGATCAATCTAGAGACTGTCATACAGAGTGAAGTAAGAAAGAGAAAAACAAATATTGTATATTAACGCATATATGTGGAACTTAGAAAAATGGTAGAAACGAACCGGTCTGCAGGGCAGAAATTGAGAGACAGATGTAGAGAACAAACATATAGACACCAAGGAGGGAAAACGGCACGAGGGTGGTGGTGGTGGTGTGATGAATTGGGAGATTGGGATTGACATATATACATTAATATGGATAAAATGGATAACTAGTGAGAACCTGCTCATTTAGGAAATAAAATTCTGTTTTATAAAATAAAATTCAAAAATTCAAAAAAAAAGACAATTACCCAATAAATCAGAAAATCTACTGTCAAGGGACACACACCTGGTTGGGAGGTATCAGTCCATCCCCTCTTGGCTCGTACACAATAATCCCATCTTGTATTGGGGTCCTTGACAAACTTTCCAATGTCTTTGAATAATGCACAAAAAGACATGTGGCTGGCTCGATAAACAGTGTAGTAGAGGAGGGCAGCCCTCCATAAAAAGGGGTCTTTTCTAAACAGGACACTGTGAATACTTGCCAGTCCTTCCTCTGTGGGATTGTTTGGCTTTAGGTCATGTTTTTTACGGCCAGTCCAACTGTTCCATGGCTGCTGAAGGTTGTTAATACCTCGAAAATAATGTGTGCCTAAGGACAAGAAAAGGCACATGAAAAGTAAGAAATGCCATTCTTATTTTAATTCTTCTCCAAAAAAAGATTCTACCAACAGTTCTAAAACGAAATTGATGTGTACCTACAAATCAAAAGAAAGCAGAAAATGATCTGACACTAATGCCCTTTGCTTTGAAGGAGTACACAGCCTTCAGAAGGATTACATGTCTCATTAGAAGAGGTATAACTTTTACAGCAATTTATTTTCTTTTTAAGAGTCGAATTATAGACTTGGTATTTGAAAAGAATCTTAGAGATCACTTAATTCAATTCCCTCAGTTGAAGATGGGGGAACTGAAATCCAGAGGAGTTAAATGACTCTCCAAGCTTAATACAGCTATACGGTACCCTAAAAAATCTAATTTGAAATGAGACATTAATATCTTAGCTTTAGTTCAAGTGACACCTAACAATTTCATTACTTTTTGCCAAATATTACTAAGAAAAAATGCATTATAAACAAACAAGTCCTTGAAGTAATTTCTGCTATTACAACTGAATAAATGGAGAAGGGTTGCCCCCTACCTATTTCATGCCTCAGCATTCCTTCCAGCCAATGCTCACGTGCGGTGCAAACATTGATGGTCAGTGTTGGACATCCATTTACTACTGTCATCGAAGCTCGGGAAAGCAGGTCCTCAGTGAGGTGAACTACAATCTAAAGAGCAAGAGTTAAAAAATATATATATATAAAAGACAAAACGTAGAAGGCAGGGGGTGAAAGTTTTCACAGAAAACAATGGACCCATAAATTAACGCCTTTTTCTTTTGTTTACACCATCTTGAATCTCCCCGAAACCAAGAAGATGAAATGCAGACCCTTGGAATTTTGAGCCTTTGGTAACTCAGGAACCTTTACTGGATTGAAAGAAAAGTAGACAGCTGTGCAGAGGAAGACACAGAGAACTGAAATTGTGCCTCTGCAGTGCTCTCAAATGTAGTCCCCCGGGCTGGAATAATGCAAAGGGAGGTACAGGAGCCAGAGTCCTGGTCACTGCTGGGCCAAAGCTTATTTTGAGACTGAACACTAGGAACTGGACATTAATAAGAGAAGTCACTGTGCCAAATCTCTTCATTAATAATTTTCATAAGCCAATTCACATAATCCTACAAGCTATACAAAAATGGTAGTAATAAAAAAGGAAAAACAGAAAAAAACTGAACATTAACAATTCAATGCAATAAAAACTTAGACTTATATTTAGTAAGAAATCTGGGTGACTTATTTAATGAGTAAAATAGTGCTGGGAAAACAAAACCTGCAGAAAAAACAAACACGTGGCAGTGACTGAGAGTTCAAATGCTCAAATTGTCATGCTTACTCATGATTCATACCTCACCCATGCAGCCTTCTTTCATCATGTATTTCCTAACATGACTCCAGATTCGAGTTTTAGATAGCAGGCTACCACCGGTGGCCTGTTCAAATTTTTCATAGCTTCCATACTTTTGTAAAGTCAGTTCCATAATATTGATGGACTGTAAAAGAAACAGAGATAATGAAAGTAAACAGCCTCCTATTATTTCGACATGAGTAATGACCTAGTTATATTCTTATTTATCATGACCTGTTCTGTGCTTACCGATTTCCAAATCAAATTGCAGCTACGGTAACATATTTTTCTAATCCTAAACAGCTTTCATTTATTTTCATATATTTTTACAAACACCTGTGTATGTACTTACTTCTTAACACAGAATGAAGGCTCAAGCACTACACAACTGTCAACATCTAACAGGCTGAGAAGCTAAGGCAGAGTTCTCAGTTTCTCTTGGCTTCTCTAAGACCACCTGGTGGTTTTTCAGGAGAACTCAGAAGGTATGTCTCCAGACTAATTACTAGAATATAATTACCATTTGGATAAAGAAAAAAATTCCCAATTTTTAAGCACATACAGAAGAATCAACCATTCCTTTGTGATGATCCTATAGAACCTGATGTTTTCCTGGGCTACTTACTCTTTGGCAGAAACACAGTCTCAACATTACTAAAAACACTCTTATCTTTCATTCTGGGCAGGGTACTATCTAACTTTTCATTCTTCATAAGTTTTCATATCAAAAGAATATGAAAGTTGAGATCTTTTTCTCTAAGTACAAATATACAAAAAGGAAGACTAAAAAAACTGGTAACAGATCATCAATATCTATGGGAAAGCCACAAAAAAAGGAAAACATAAGGAAGGAAAATGCTATTCAAAGGTCTTTTGGGAAAAAGCTAGAAAATTCAAATATATGAATGGTGACAGAAGCTAGAAAATTCAGATACCTGATATTATATTAAGCCTATGCTTTTTATCTGTTGTCAGACTAGTAAAGAGATTAAAAGTACAAGCTCTAGAGTCAGACTGACATCCTGGCTCTGCCACCTTCTGGTTGTGTGACTCTGGGCAAGTCACTAAACTTGTTACCAAGCCTCCTCATTAGTAAATGGGGATAACAACAATAATGTCTACGGCATGGTTTTGTTGAGAAAATTTAGCCAAACTTTGTAAAGCACAGTGTCAGACATAAGTAGTCAATACATGTCAATTATTACATCATCATCACCAGTATGTTACCATTCTTTATAAATACCACTGTAGATGACATGCCCAACACAAAAACTACAGTAGAACTCATGTGCTACAAGTTATAAGTAGATATATATATCCCCACAGGAAAAATATATATTACTAATAAACTAGGAGTGAATCATAAACTTATCATAACAAGAAATGGCTTCAACAAGTTTGCCTGGCTTGCGTTCCCAAAGTTGCTATTAAAAGGCTTGATATTCAAAATGTGGTCGAAAAGCCAGCAGCATTGGCACTGGCATTGTCCTGGAAGCTGGCTTCAAATTTGGAATTTTGCCTGCCTCCAAGCTACATGCATACTGAATCAGAATCTGCATTTTAACAAGATTCCCCAGGTGATTCACCTGCACAGTAGAAAGCCAGAAGGATCTCAGAGAATGGGAACACAGCAAATACCCCAGAGGCTAATTTATTTATATGACAACTAGGATAATTAAAAGAACAAGTTAGCACATAATTAAAAGCCCATTTAGCAGATTAGCTAAGGTATTTGCATACACCAGTCTAATGGTCACTAGTCATCAATATATCAGAGTTAGAAGAATCTGAGAAATTTTGCCTTAATTCCATAAGAGACAGAAGTGGTACCTTCTATACTGAACTTATAATTAGACCTAAAAAAAGTTAAAGAAATTTTTTATTATAACTTGTGTGTATAGGTTTTTAAAAGTATGTACTTAACTTAGGATAAAACTAGCTTTTCTAGCATATGCTTACTCAGTAGGATAATGTGGTTATCTAGTTACTAATTATTATAACAGTCTGGAAATTTTGGAAAAACTTAAATACAGGTGACCCTTGTTATCATCAATAAATGGTACTTAGTAGAAGGCTATTAAGTAGTCACACTCATAATAAGTATTCGTTCATATTCATAACAGGGAACAAAGATTTGATTGAAAATTTACCCTGAAAAAGTACCCTATAAGATTAAAAAAAATTACCTTGGCAGTTTAACAACACTGAGGCAACCTCTATACCTATCAACTAATTATTAGATAATCAAAGAATGAATAAAAATAGTGGGAGTTTTTTTTGGAGGGGATGTAATTTTTCTATCAAAATGATATGCAATAGCACATCATTTTCCATTGCGTGACTTACATGGCACCATCATGGCAGCAATCCTTCATGAGAGCTACATGGATGTTCCCAAAAGCTTATCTTAATATGTCATGTACAGTCATTCTTCACTGAAGTGCCCATCCTGCTGTCATCTCTAGATATTTTTCTTTATTAGTTTTTCAACTGGTCCAACCTAGACAAATTTGTCAGTGACCACACAGATCTCCAGTATCCTTCACTGACTTCCCAATCCATCTGCATTAAATAGACCTCAGCACAGAGAGAGAGACAGTGGTTGGATAGGTGAATAAATTCAAGTTTTAAGAGAGAAGTCAGGAATGTTCAGTGGTTACTTCATCAGTGAACATTTTTGTGTTACAACAATTTCTGCTTCCTTATGCAACCTCTGGCAGGCCACAAAAATTTTTACAAGTATGATCTCAATTTTGGGGGAAAAAAAGGCAATAAGCAATTTTAAAAAGGCACAAGGAAGCCTGGAAGGATATACCCAAAGGCTATGTGATATCATGTTCATGTTTGAGAAGGGATAATGTGTTGCACTGATGTTTAATTATTTGCACTATACAGAAGTTTTCAAAATGGTTTACAATATGCAAAGGAAAAAGTCATTTTTTCCAGCTTCACTGAGGTATGATTGACAGATAAAAATTTTATATATTTAGGTTCTACAATCAGGTGTTTAAGGTGTACAATGCGATGACTTAATATGTGTATACACTATGAAATGATTACTATAATCAAGTTAATTTACAAATCCATCACCCCATATAGTTACATTTTTTTAATGTGGTGGGAACATCTAAGATCTTAGCAAATTTCAAGTATACAATATACTATTATTACCTATAATCATCACGCTATATATTAGATACCCAGAACTTATTATTCAGTTTATAACTGAAAGTTGGTACCCTTTGACCCACATCTCCTTACAAGTTTTTGTTTGTTTTTTTACAGGAAAAAAGAGTCCATCCTCTCCCCCTAGAGCTCAGAGAATCAATATCTGTATCACTTTAAGAATCAAGCTTTCACACACCTCCGCATGGTTAACACTTTTAAGAGGCAATAAATTTTATGTCAGATCTCTCTTCTCCATTAATATCATCATTTAAGTTAATCAGAAAACTACATCTCCCAATATTACTTGGTGCGAGATTCAAACAAGCAGCAGCTTGATAATTTTTTTTTTTTTTTGCGGTATGCGGGCCTCTCACTGTTGTGGCCTCTCCTGTTGCGGAGCACAGGCTCCGGACGCGCAGGCTCAATGGCCATGGCTCACGGGCCCAGCTGCTCCGCGGCATGTGGGATCCTCCCGGACCGGGGCACGAACCCGTGTCCCCTGCATCGGCAGGTGGACTCTCAACCACTGCGCCACCAGGGAAGCCCGCAGCTTGATAGTTTTACTCTAATCATCACTTTTTTTTTGGCTGTGCCTTGCATCTTGTGGGATCCTAGTTCCCTGACCAGGGCTTGAAGCCGGGCCCTTGGCAGTGAAAGCCCCAGAGTCCCAACAACTGACCTCCAGGGAATTCCCCAATCATCACTTTCAATTTGCCATCCAGCATATCCCTTTCTTATCTTCAAATAAACCTTAACCAATTTAACTTCCAAAAACGTTCAAGTATTAAAAGAAAAAAAAGTCCATTTCAAGTTAATTTAACCCAATTTAAAACATAAATCACATATCCAATTAAAGCTCTTTCCCCTCCCCTAGGCAGAGCCTGGCCTGAGGCCTAAAGAACCTTCACTAGGAAAAGAAGGCATAATCAGTGATTTGATTCCTTCTCATCTCTCCCCTATTTTCACAGCCTCTCTTTCCCTTCAGTATATTGACAGCTGGGAGGAAGGAACGAACAATTCCCATATAACTGGTTCAGCTGTGGTCCTCCTCCTTTGACTCTAATGCTGGGGCAGGCCTATTATAGCAGGTGCCTCCACTGCACAGCTTACTGACTAGCCTCCTTCCCACAGAATCTATGCAAGAAGCTCCCCTGGAGTGGACAACTACCAAAACTATTTCTATGAAATTTAAAAGCACAAGAGGAACAACCTAAAGATTTAACTTAATCTAATTACTGTATACCCATTGCATGAAATGAAATATATGCAGTCAGTTAAAATAATGCTGACAAAAAAGAAAAGCTGACAGCTTTTAACAGCATGAAAAAATATAGACATGTAAACAAAAGTATGCTAACTCAACCATCAACATTAGGCATGAAGCAAGGAAAACACACTAAAATGTATTTTTCTTTTTTTTTCTTGAAGTATCGATTTACAATGTTGTGTCAGTTTCCAGTGTACAGCAAAGTGATCCAGTTACACATACATATCTTTTTTCAGATTCTTTTCCCTTATATGTTATTACAAAATATTGAGTATAGTTCCCTGTGCTATACAGTATGTCCTTGTTAGTTATCTATTTTATACACAGCAGGGAAAACGCACTAAAATGTTAAAAGTCGTGACCTAGAGGTGGTGGAATTATAATAATTATTCTCTTCTCCATACTCTTCTAAGTTTCTGCACTAAACACATATTTCTTTTACAACTGGAAAATATAAAACTGTTTAAGTACCCTCTACTTTGGAATCTCCAGGCCTTTCTTTTCACTATCTAGTTACCTTCTCCCACTTCCCAGTTAGTCATTGATATACCTTCTCCAGAGTAATTGTATTTAAAAAGGAAACACATGAAAATATTTAAAAATTCAAAAAATATCTTCTATGGTAGATTTTTAGGCAGAGCAGATTGCTGGTAGACAGAACTGGTATGGCTCACATTCCTGAGGTCTACTCGAGCAAGCAGCCACTTCCC